ATTTGAAGAAATACAAAGGAGAGCCTCTCAAGGATTGATTAAAGGATTAAAATAAGATTATATTATTAAGATTCATTATTATGACTTTTAAAGCTTTAAAAGGCTGGTCAGGTAAATAAATAAATAAATAAAAACACAGAAAACTTTTCATTTTGAAGGGAAACTTTGAGTTATTTTAGTGTTTTCATATTTATTTTTTTCACACACACACATATATATATATATATAATACCATCTTGTAGGTAATGTTTTAATAAAGGAAGAGGCATCTGACATATTTTATTTCGTTGTTTATTCTAATTATTAATTGTCATTAATTGCAAACATAAATATTACATTCTAACTTTGATTGTTGTTTTTTCATTGGCTGGAGCCAGTGGTGTGTGTGTTGAAAGTATATGCCTTGTGTTTTATTTTTATTTAAAACGATTTAGCTCTAAACTTCATATTTTACCTTTATATACCTTTTTTGTTCTTGTTATGAACCTTATTATTATGTTTAATTTTTCTTAGGTTATTTTCTGTAAAAAAAAAAAAACCTTTCCTGTCCTTCTTTTATATCCCTAAAGTATAATTATAACTCTTTTTTTACTTTACTCCTCATTTAAAATTTAATTCAAATACTTTTATTTCAACTATTTTCAATTGAAAAAGAAATTGTAGCTTGAAAAGTTAGAAGAATGAGTTGGCACATTAGACTTATAATTATAACATGGGTGAATAATCAAATAGATCACTCTTCATGATAGCCACGTTTAATATATATATATATTCATTATCTAATTTCTAATACAATATGCGAGTGTATTAATTAAATACTTTCTTACACAAAAAGCTATTCTAAACAAGCAACATAGTGATAATAAAATAATTTAAACGGCTGTTTGGCTTTCACAAAACAAGAGTGTGGAGTGTGATAATTCCTAAAAAAACCTTTTAATTCTTTATTATTACGGTTTTCATTTTTTTATCTAATAAAATGATATTTTTTAAAGATTTTGACGTTTGATTTATATATATAAAAAAGTGATTATTTTGGACCGAGGCTCATTTGAGATTTTGATATATTGGGTCAAATTGATGAAACTAATTAATTTGAGACATGATTGAGAATTAATTAACCAATAAACTAGGGATGGAAATGAAATTTGTAGGGGGGGAGGGGGTATGAATGCAATGCAATCATACATCAAGGAAGTGAGAGTCAAGACACGAATCAAGACCATTGCAATGCATCAAAAATGGACTTTGGTCTCCACATAATAAAGTAGAATGCACCTTCCATGGCTACTTCATTTTCCACCTTTATTCTCATTTCTTTGTTCTAAAGAAAATGTCCCATTTCCTTCTTTATTTATTTTTTAATCTTTTACAAAGAACTTAATTTCTACTTTATATAATATCAAACTAATAATTTCTTCAAAACCCTGAACTCTAGCATTATCCCTCTATATTTTAACACTATCTATAATTTTGTTTTAAATAATATATATTAAAAATAATATTTAAAAAATAAAAAAAAAATTATCTTAATAAGTTTTTAAAAAACAACCGTGGATATAATCCGGCACACCTTCCAGCATCCTGGCAACTCTCTCTCCGAGTCCCAGAAAGAACACCAAGAAGAGAAGGCAAACATACATGTCGTTAGTGTTTTTCTATAGTCAACTTGCGATTACGTAATAATAGTATTGTCCACTCAAGTCGTGTTTATACCAGACGCATGCTCTGCGGATAGAAATTTACACAAGCTATGACGTTTCACCAAGGCCATTGTCTCTGCGGCCGCACCTGTCACTTTCATTTCACTGCAGAATTATTTGAAGAGAGACTGGAGAAAAACGAAACCAGAGAAGGGAAACAGCAGCCGAATGAGCTTAAAACCTAACACAGCTCTCCCCCATGTCAACATGCACGTTCTTTACGCTATTCTTGTCTAGTGGATAATTCTTTGACCTTGTAATTAATTAAAATTCTGGTTAGCTAGATTTGATGATCTGGATTAGGCCTTAAACCCCGATTTCAACAAAAAATAAAAAAAATAAAAATAGTTTTCTTCTTTTGATAGTGAAAATTAGTGTAAATTATATAAATATATACAATAAAAAGATATTATGTCTTCCATACACTTGCACAAGCATGAAAATGTCTCGTCCTGTCTTTATCAAAATGGATCAAATTTCAGAATATTTTTTTAATCGAATTTTGAACGTCAAGAAACGAAACTAAGAATGGATTCAAGAGTATAATTCAATTCGAAAAGTCTTGGGATAGAATGGATTCCTGAGTAAAACGATGTGGAAATTCTCAAACACGTTACGTGCACTTTACGCCGGCCTCCAGGTCCTGAGAATTCTAACCAGGCCGCATGCTCAGCTACCATGCTAAGAGAAATGGGAGTTGGGAGCTTCATTCTCTCAAAGAAAAAATGGACAAAACTAGATTGTAACTTAGTTTTATATATATATATATATATATATATATATATATATAATATTTTCTTTTGTTTGATGTGTGGTATTAAAAATAAATTTTAAAAAATAAAAAATATTATTTTAATATATTTTTAAATTAAAAT